CGCTCCACATGTCTGCATTTTCCTTTCGATTAAAACAAAACATCAGCGAGGTCGGCTCCCAGCCTTCACCATGGAGACCGGATAACTGATAACTCTGCTTCCAACAAACACTGTTTTCTGATGGTAAGCTAACAAAACTTATAGACAGTTGGTACAGCACAAAGTGATCAGTCACTGAAAATAAGATTTATAAGGGATCAAGCTGACGGACAAGCTAACCTCCTGCAGCGTTAGCGTCTCAGGTTAACATGTTTTTACTCTTGCTGTCCTGCCATGGACGGACAGAGGCTGCATTTTATTTTCTTTGGTTGATTTTCTGTAAAATGTAACCACCTTTGAAAAGTTTTAATTTTGTTTTCATCCTCTTTGAYGATGATGTCTTTTTTTTCTGTTCCTCAATAGCCTAAATGCCACGGACATCCGGTCCAGCACTTGATGCCACTTCAATCACTTCCGGTTTGCGGTCAACACAGTGTTAGCGAAAGATTTTTTCACCCGACAACGACTCTTAATGATCTCCACAGTACAGAATTAGCATATTACATGTACCARCATTAACACAGGAGACGTACMGGTCCAGCCAAGTGGGAAAAAAATCACTCCAAAGTGGATTAAAGCCATAAAAACAAAGGAAAGACTTTCGTGTTTATGGTTCCAGAAATTAGCCTAAACAAACCAGCTGCAGGTAATAGATGTGATTCTGCCCCCAGCAGTTCATGGACTGCATTACAGTTAGAAATAATCATTTACGTGTGTAAATCATGTGTCGACATTAAAATAATTTTTATAATCAATGTCGTTGATTATATCGACTAATCGTTGTAGTCCTAAATACGACAGTATGGGACTGGGTTTGTTTGTATCAGCAAGTGGTCAAATATGCCTCATAGTCTTAGGAAGTCGTATAAAAAGTGAGATTCACTAATGAGTTGGTGTGTTGGGTGAATGTCTGGTCTGAGTGATTTGACCTTCTTTCTGTTTTACTGATCAGTTTGGTTCAGATGAGAGCACTCTGACACTCTGACACTCTGACGTTTCCTTTTAAACAAATGGTTAAAGATCAGATCTTTATCTTTTGCCACAACAGTTCGGTGTCACTGGTGCGATGCCAGCTGTCATGATTCTTGTCTTTTCGGTCCTACTTTGTGGATTCTTTGTGTTTTTTAAACCCCTGTTCATTTCCTGCTTTTCCTTTTACTTTGTCCTTCTGGTTACAAACACACAGTGTAACACCTGCGGTGTAACGTTTGCCCATGCTGCTCCTCTCAGTCTCAGGCCATGAGGATCGTTCGGACCGTGGGCCAGGCCTTTGATGTGTGCCACCAGCTGACACTGCAGCAGAAATGTGACGAGCAAGATGATGAAGAGGAGGGGAAGTTAGAGGAGCCGGAAGCAGCAGCATCAGCAGGTGACTTTCTACCTTCACTTCATCTATAAAATGACCCCCCCCAC